CGGAAGGAAGAGCCCTGGTCTGCCTGGAGCACAGCGTGCAGCCCTGCGTGGCGCGGTTCTCACCTCCAGCTGTGCCCTCCACCCCATCAGGCCAGGAGCCGCGCCCCTCCGATCGCTTGGCCCTACAGAGCCCTAGCCCACCAAAGCAGGTGCTGACACCCACCCCTTCAGGTCCTCAGCTGCTGCTGTCTAGCGGGCTGGCAGGCATCTGTGAAGGCCGATGGCCAGTGCTTCTAGCGTTGTGGGTTAGACAGCCTGTCCTGACTGCACGGTTCTGCACTTCACTACTGAGGTGCCCATGGGGGGAGGGTGTGGCCACATGTCTGGTTTGCGGCAGGAAGGCTGGGTTTAGCCCCGGGCCACAGGCTGCTGATGCTGAGCTAGCTCAGATGAGCAAGCCATGCCGACAATCTCCAGACCATCAGCAAGTCCCACACATGCCCGCGGGGACAGGTCAGTCCCTCAGGGTTGCAATCCCGGGGGTCAGCAAGCCCCTTCCTACTCTGCTTAAGTGGAAGGAAAAAGGTCCTCCTGGTGAGGCAGAGGCTAAGCTGGGCACACAGTCTCTGGGGACTTTAACTTTCAGGGGACACATCTTAGAATGCCACGTGGCCTCTACCATGAGGCCCGCATGGGTGTTTGCCTTTAAGGCAGACATACAGTTTAGAAGACTGGCAAAAAAGCAAATGGTGTTGGGCAGAGGAGGAGAGTCACTTGGCAGTTCACGGGCGGCTGAGACAACTGCCACCATCACCCACACCTCAGTAAGAAAACAACGTCCCCAGGCTGGGCTCGGTGGCTCAGCCTGAAATGCCAGCACTTTGGGAGGCCGAGGTGAGAGGACTGCCTGAGCCCATGGGGTCGACACCAGCCTGGGCAACTTGGCAAGACCGCATCTCTACAGTAAATAAAAAATTAGCTGGGTGTGGTAGTGCGCGCCTGTAGTGCCGGCTACCTGGAAGGCTGAGGCAGAAGGATTGTCTGAGATCAACAAGTCAAGGCTGTGGTGGTCGTGAGCATGCCACTGCACTGCACTCCAGCCCGAACGACAAAGTAAGACTCCAACTCAAAAACATAAAAAAAAAGAAAGGCAGGGCTGGGCTCGGTGGCTCAACCTGTAATCCCAGCACTTTGGGAGGCCAAGGCAAATGGATTGCCTGCCCACAAGTTCGAGACTCGCCCAGGCAACTTAGCGAGACCTCATCTCTACAATAAATCAAAAAATCAGCTGGGTGTGGTAGCCCGCGCCTGTAGTTCCGGCTACTTGGAAGGCTGAGGCAGAAGGATCTCCGGAGCCCAGGAGGGCGAGTCTGCGGTGGCCAGGAGCATGCCACTGCACTCCAGTCTGGGCAACAGAGTGAGACTCCAACTCAAAAAAAAAAAAAAGTCGGGAGCAGAGATGGCCCAAGACGAGTCCCACCAGGTGATCGTGACCTGGCTCCCATCTCACTTGAGCCAGGCACCAGCAACCCCAGCCTGCTTCTGCAGGGCTAAGTTTCCACAGTGTGATGCTTTAACCTGAGTTTCCCGGAGCCAACATGCAGATTGGCAGACACTTGCAAACTCACCAATGTCATGATGTCATTTGCGAGGTCTCTGGCAAGGTCTGGGGTGACAAAACAGGACAGACCAGTCAGCGCAACACCGGTGTCGTACTGGCTGGGGCTGCTCAGGTCCTGGAAAGGAGGAGAGGGGGTTCAGCAGATGGGGTGCTGTCAGCTGCACATGCTATACTGTGTCTCTGCCAGGGACAGTGCAGGAGGCAGTGGATCCACTTGGGGTGCGCTGTGCCCCCCGATACAGAGGGGTCTGGATCTTGGACAAGGAGGAACAATTCCCCACCATCCCACATTCTGTCCGCAAGAGAGGGGCCTGGGCGTGGCCACCCGGACAGGCAAGGTCTAGGATGGGGCACTGGGAGGGCCGAGTAAGGACCAGTCGAGACCCAGGCCCTCAGGACAGAGGTGCTCGCTCAGAGATCACGGATAGCCTACTGTCACCAGTGTGTGATAGCAAAAGATCATTTTGCACCAGGGTAGCCTACTGTCCACCAGTGGCTGAGGGCAGCTCCTGGCCTACAAAGGCAGCAGCACTAAGCCTGCCCCAAGCACCATGGAGCACAGAGCGACAGGGAATCCCACGCGACCAAGACTCTGCTTCCATGTGGGGTCTGTTTCCCCATGGCCGAGGAGAGGAGACAGGGACAACTCCTGTGGGCCCCCCTCAAACCTAGGACAAGCTTTGGCTCAGGGACAAGTTCATCATTCAGCTGAACCAAAAAGTGGCACCATGAGCCACGGAAGGACCAGCAGCTGACATCGACCTGCCTGGACCCATCTGTTGGCTCTCCAGCCCTATGGCCTCGCACATCGAGCCCTGTTTCAACCTCAGGAAATGATCTTTTTTTTTTTGAGTTGGGGTCTCACTTCGTCGCCAGACTGGAGTGCAGTGGCCGCTCCCAGCTACTGCAGCCTCAACCTGCTGGGCTCCAGCGATCCTTCCACCTCAGTCTACCATGTAGCCGGAATTACAGGCATGTGCTACCATGCCCGGCTGATTTTTTTGATTTATTGTAGAGATGAGGTCTTGCTGCCGAGGTGGGTCTTGAACCCGCGGGCTCAGGCAATCCACTCACCTCAGCCTCCCAAAGGCGCGGGATTACAGGCTGAGCCACCGAGCCCGGCTGGAAATGATCTTTTGCTATCACAATCTTGTTCTTGTGGAGGGATTTTTTTTTTAGTTGGGTCTGCTCTGTTACCCAGAGTGGAGTGCAGCAGCACGATTGTGGCTGGCCTCAGCCTCCTGAGTTCAACCAATCCTCTTGCCTCTACCCCAAGGGACCTACAAGCATGCACCAACACACTCAGCTAATTTTTGTACTTTTCGTAGTGATGGGCCTCACTATGTTGCCCAGGCTGGACTCGAACTCCTGTACTCAAGCAATTCTCTGCCTTGACCTCTCAAAGTGCTGGGATGACAGGTGTGAGCCACCATGCCAAGCAGGAGATTTTCTTTTAGTTTGGTTTTTCTTTTTTCCTTTCTCCAAGCATTTTGGGGATAGATATTTGTGGGGCCTCCCAAAACTTACCACTTACACATGTCTGTCAGGTTTCATTTTATTTTATTTTATTTTTTTAAGTGAGGGTTGGGAGCCGACAAAGTCCAGGGGGCTGAAGACCCCGAGTTGCAAAGCGAACCCGGACAGCTGAGACCCTTGCTTCCTCTACTTTTGTTATTGGTGCAACCAAAAAGTTCTGTACAGTCTGAGGATGGAAAGCAAAATTCACCACCCCTTGCCTTTACTTCCCTTTGTTAAGGAGGCTTGTAATTCTGGTGACTTGAGCCTGAGAGGCCTTTTGTTTTACAAACGTTAAAGCTCATTCTTTCTGGCAGGAAATAACACAGATTGCAAACACCAGGTGTGAAGTTAGGGAAAACTAGTCAGGCCAACTTGCAGCTAAGAAACCTTGAAAATGTTGCTTTACCCCAGCTAGTTGCAAATTGCTGTGTAAAGGTCACAGGTGTGATTTGTTAATCTATGTGATAATTACAGTGCTTAGAACTTGGTAGTGATTTATAATGTAATAGTTATAGCAATAAGTAAGTTTTGCATGGACATTAAGAAATGGTAATCATTAAAAAATGCTAGAAATTTTAACATTTATAGTTTAGGATGATAATGCTTTAAGATCAAAACAGGATGAACAAAGATACATTGCCTGTCCAGTTCATTCAATTGTAACCGATTGCCTTGGAAACAAAAAACATGTAGGGTATAAAAGGAGTTGGAAAAGACAATAAATTGGCATTTGTCCTGCTTGCAGCAGAGTCAGTGTCCAAGTTTTTTCTCCTGCGCCTACATTGTCCCTCTTTCAGGAAACCCTGACCTGCTGGAGCTGGACCCCAGCGAGTGAGGAAGCAGGATTTACTGAGACAAAAAAGCACCCACAGTTGGAGGAGACCCGAAGGGGTTGCCCAGGTTCCATTTTAAAAGTTAAACTTCTGGCCAGGTTCGGTGGCCCAGCCTGTAATCCCAGCACTTTGCGAGGCTGTATCAAGTGGATTGCCTAAACCCGCGGGTTCGAAACCCGCCTGGGCAAATTGGCGAGACCTCATCTCTACTATAAGTCAAAAAATTACACAGGCGTGGTAGTGTGCACCTGTAGTTCCAGCTACTTGGAAGGCTGAGACAGAAGGATCGCCGGAGTCCAGCAGGTCGAGGCTGTGGTGGCCGGGAGAGGCCACTACACTCCAGCCTGGGCGACTGAGTGAGACTCCAACTCAAAAAATAAAAATAAAAATAACGAAAATGACATGACATGGGGGACCAGGGCATCGGGGCCATGCCCCTGCCATGAGCCTTCACGGAGGAGCCGAATGCTCACTGGCAGGCAGGGCTGTGGCCACACATACACGATGCCAGGTCCCAGGCTGGGACAGCAGGTGACTGACTCCCAGATCACTCCTGAGAGCAATGCACGTGTGCTCCAACACGGAGGTCTCACGGGAGCGGCTTCTACACACTTCCTGATGAAGCAGAAGTCACAGGGAGCTGCTCACAGGGTGGCAGGGCCATGACTGTGCTGAGAACTGGCAAAAGCAAGGCTGAGCCCAAGCCGTGGCACCGCCTCATAGGCAGCTGGCACCCGATGCCCAGGGTGGCCGGAGGCCTCCCCCACCATCCCTCCTGGGTACGGCCACCCAACTCACTCCCCTCCTCCTCCCAGAACACTCAACTCATGCCAGGACCCACCCACTGGGCACCATGACCCATAGCTCACGGCCAATCCAAACTCTCAAGCCCCAGGCACCTAGGAACGTGCTGCCCACACCCAGGCAGGACGCTCACCTCCATAACCTCACCCAGAATGGGGAGCCCGCAGGCAACGGCACTGGGATCTACGCAAGTAGACGGCCAGTCCCTGCACCACCTGCCCCTCGTGTGCTGGGAGCCCGGGCTCCAGGTCACCCTGCAGGAGCAACAACACCTCCTGAGGGTGACCCTGGCTCCTGGGCGGGGTGTGCTCTGGGTGGAAAGGGACCGAGGGCCGAAACGGAGGCTGGGCCTCAGAGTCTCCAACACCCGAATCCTTCCCCGTGAGGGGGTAAACAAAAGACATGCAAAGGACCAGGGTCAAGAGGACACGTGTCACTTGGTGGTCCCCAAAGGTTATGCAAGACATTAAGAATGTGCACAGGGAGCTGGGCTCGGTGGCTCAGCCTGTAATCCCACGCCTTTGGGAGGCTGAGATGAGTGGATTGCCTGAGCCCACGGGTTCGAGACCCACCTGGGCAACTTGGCGAGACCTCATCTCTACAATAAATCAAAAAATCAGCTGGGCGTGGTAGCACGCGCCTGTAATTCCAGCTACTCAGAAGGCTGAGGCGGAAGGATCACCGGATCCCCAGCAGGTTGAGGCTGCAGTGGTCGGGAGCGGCCACTGCACTCCAGTCTGGGCAACAGAGTGAGACTCCAACTCAAAAAAAAAAAAAAAAAAAAAAGAATGTGCACAGGGGCAACCCCACGTGTCCCCTCCCACTATGGGAGCTTTTCCATCCTCTTAATAAATCCTGCTTTCTAAAAAAAAGAAAAAAAGAGCTGGGCTCGGTGGCTCAGCCTGTAATCCCAGCGTTTTGGGAGGCTGAGGTGAGTGGATTGCCTGAGCCCGCGAATTCGAGACTCGCCTGGGCAACTTGGCGAGACCTCATCTCTACAATAAGTCAAAAGTGAGCCGGGCGTGGTAGGGTACGCCTGTAATTCCGGCTACTCGGAAGGCTGAGATGGAAGGATCACCAGAGCCCAGTGGGTAGAGGCTGCGGTGGCTGGGAGCGGCCACTGCACTCCAGTCTGGGCGACAGAGTGAGACTCCAACTCAAAAAAAAAAAAAAGGAATGTGCACAGGACTGAAAAACACACACATCGTGTCACTCAGAAGCACCATGCAGCAGAGAAGGGAATGTAGCTTAGAGGGCGCTGTTGCCAGGCAGGAGGACAGAAGCAGGGTGACCACAAAGGCTGGGCTCGGCGTGGACACCTGCAGCCGCTGCCTGCCACCCCTCCACGTCAAGCAGTGAGTCAGGACAGGGAATTCAGCAACACACTGTCCACACTGCCCATCCCGCAGGGCAGAAGCTCAGTCCCATCACACCATCTTTGTGTCTTCCAAGAACGACAGCCAAGAGGACCACAGATGCATGAATGACACTGTCGACCTTCAGACCAATAGCCCTCATGGTCTACTTGTCACACATGAACAACGGGAAAGCCAGCACGGAGACCCCTCACACAAGGGACATGCCACACCCAGTCCAAGTACCCAGCCCAAGCACTGCGGCCCACGGACACCTACCTTGCGGATCTGGTTCGTGGTCAGCATGATGACGTCGGTGCCCTCATGGAAGCTCTGGGACGCAGCAAGGTAGCCAATTCGCTGTGGCGCAACAGACAGTGGTCAGAGCCTGGGCACACCCTGGCACCTCCAGGGACCCCCAGCCCTTCTCAGGGCATCCACACCAAGAGTTCCCGGCCCTGGCTACAACACCCTGCAGCCCAGATGCTGGGGCCACAGGTGGTGGGCAGCAAGTCCCCTGCTGGCCAAGCACAGGGAAGCCATTCGTGACCCAAGTCAGGTCCCTGAAAGACCCCAGGAGAAGGACATGCCAAGTCAGGGCTACATGGTTTGACCTGTGCCCTTGGGGTTGGCCAAAGTCACAGGCACTGCCTTCGATACTCGGCACCTCCCTCACCGGCCGGTGGCCAGGGCCAGCCTTTCAGAGCAGTGAGTCCAGCGTGGGTTTGTTGGAGGGCTCTGGCCGCTCTGCCAGGCTGAAGCATACCCAGTGTGAGAATGCTCCATACCACACAGCAGCTGCCCCCAGTTTTGGCCACTGCAATATTTAGTTCTTAGCAAGAGTGGTCAGCAGGCAGATAACAATGTCCAGCAAAGGAAGGCCAAGCCTGACCATGCAGTGACCGCAGGCAAGAGCTCAGGGCCTCAGGACTAGACATCACAGGCAGCCTCAGCCCACTATGGGTATGTGTTTCAGCCCAAAGTCAAGGATAGCCTTCATGCAACCCAGGAAACCCTGGTGCACACAATCACCTTCAGTATATTTACAGGAGACATGCAGACACTGTAACACTGAAAAGGAAACACGATCCCACAGTGTTCACAAGGACGATCTCAACGTAAAGAAACATGCTCAGAGACTGTCTCAGAGGCAAAGGAACACAATACCCAACGGAGCCTCCAGCGAGATGACGCATGTCTGGTACTGGAAGCGTTACAAGTCTACTCATTGTAGGTGGACAGTCCATTGGCATCTGCCGCTGGGCAGGGCTTGGTCACACTGCCACATGCCACTCAGGGCAAAGCCAGCACCTGGCCACGGAATGGACCCACGGGGACGACTAGTGGGGGGGCCCCATTCCCTACCCCACCGTTTGCCCCACAGACCATACCTTGAACGTGAACTTGGAGGCACTCATCACTTCAATGATGTTGAAGGCGGCCCAGCTGATGTCGTAGCCCAGCATCTGCAGCTGCAGAGAGGGGAGCGCCGCCATTCTCACCCACCAGCCGTGGTGACACAGAGGGTCCGAGCCCAACAGCAGACACCCTCAGCACAAAAGGACGAGCCCCACCATCTCAACAGACTCCACCCGACACCCTGAGCCTGTAACAGCTGCTTCTGACAAATGACTCTTAGGTGTCAGTTACAGGGACAGGCTGGCAGTAGACCCCAGAAGGGGACAAGCGCTTGCAAGGGAGACAGCAGTGCACCTGTACTGGCTCAATGCTACCAGCCGGGACGGCTCCTCGAAATGTCTATGAGAAAAACGCCGGCCCCAGGGACCCAGACAAGCCCTCTGTCCTCCTCTCTGACAAGGAAACAGGCTGGGGCTGCCTGTCACCAGCTTGCATGTAAATCAGAACAGCAGCCAGAAAGGAAATGCAGCCCAGGGGGGTTTAGAGCCCCAGCTCCGCCCACCAGGCATCTGGGCCTGGCTGTGGCAGGAGTCGAGACTGCAGGCCAAGGCATCCTGCGGGCCTTCGCTCAGGAAAGGGCCCCATGGGGCTCCCTCTGGGAGACAGTCATGGCACGCCTCTCCATGGCTCTCTGGCCCTCCATGGCTCATGGACAGGTGCTATCAGTGACTGTCTGACAGGCAGATAGGCAGGCCAGTGGATGACTGGACACACAGGTGGGCAGCAGACCCACGTGGAGCACACAGGCAACCCAAAGGCTCCGGGTATGGGTGGGCCACAGGGCCCAAGGTGGGTACTTACATACGTCAGCTTGCAGACGGCATTGGCTTTCACCGCGATGTTGTCCTGTTTCAGCTCCTGCTTGATTTCATCAATGCACTGGGAGATGTACTTTGCCTAAAAGGAAAAACAACAACAGGAATCACAAATGTCCGGCTAAGCCAGGCATAGTGGCTCACGTCTGCAATACCAGCACTTTGGGAGGCTGAGGCAAGAGTATTTGCCTGAGTCCAGGGGTTCGAGACCAGCCTGGGCAACTTGGCAAGACCTCCTCTCTACAATAAATCAAAAAAATTAGCAGGTCATGGTGGTCCGGGCCTGTGGTTCCAGCTACACGGAAGGATGAGGCAGAAGGATCGCCTGAGCCCAGCACATCAAGACAGCGGTGGCCGTGAGTGTGCCGCTGCACTCCAACATGGGTAAGAGTAAGACTCTGACTCAAAAAAAAAATGAACAGAAAAACAGCTGAGAAAAACCACTTCAAAAAGAAGCCAGACACAAGGCCATGCGGCGTGCAACTCCACTTACAGGCGGTGTCCCATGGGGACAGAGCAGGCCTGTTCCAGGAATGCATTTGGGTAAATGGCTCCCAGGGACTGGAGGAGAACCCAGTTTCTTTCTGGGTGATGAGAGTATTCTGGAACTAGACTGTGGTGACAGGTGCACAGTAGTCCGTGACACGCAACTATGCCCCACTGTGTCTGCTCCTCAGCAGAAGACATGCAGCTCCTCCACCCTGGCTGGTGCGACTCACACTGCCGTGAACACTGTCCAGGGTGCGTGTGGACATGCTGATTCTTGGGTCTCCTCGCAAACTCGGTGTGCCTACTGAAATGCCGGCCGAGGCAGTTCTGACCCAAGAAGTGGCGTGGCGCCTGAGGTCCAGAGCTACAGATGACCATGCCCTGGGGGAGTGGCAGGTACGTGGCTCTCATCACATGGCAAGAGACACACAGCCCACATCAGCACCAGCTCCCACAAGGAGAGGACAGTCACCCGGGCTCGGGGCAACTCTGCCAACAGGACACGAGGTCCGCACACTGTGCTCCTGGAGCCCGGGACAACAGGCCCAGAGCCACAGTCGCCAGAAACCCGTCCTGTCGCCTGCAATGGCATGCCTCCTGTGGCACTGTCCAGCAAGTTGCCCTCCTGCAGGCCAGACTGGCCAAGCCCCTGCCTCCCAGCCCAAGTCCCTGCATGCTGCTCTGCCATTCCTGTCATCCAGGTCCACGCAACCCAGCTGAGACCCTCAGCCACCACCAGCCCAAGGAACAGGGACAAGCCCTGGCACGTGGGTGCTCTCTCGGCCACAGGATGTTCTGAATGTTTCATGACCGATACTCAGTACAATGGAACAAGCGTCCCCAGACCCTCCCAACGTGCTCGAGTTACTAAACCTTGCTCCCGGGACCCTGGCTCTGAACCTGTCCTGTATCTGAGGCTTATGGCAGTTAACGATCTAAGAGGTAAAGAACAAACAGACAATCCCAAGGGTGGAGAATTCGGCCCCTCACACAGGGCAGTGGGATGTGCGGGGCAGGCTAGCAGCCCCCCAGATGGTGAACAGGGAGGCATCACGGCAGTACCACCCCTGGGGTAGCGCTGGGGCACTCAAAACAGAAGTCCAAGCGGGCTCGGTGGCTCAACCTGTAATCCCACACCTTTGGGAGGCTGAGATGAGTGGATTGCCTGAGTCCTCGGGTTCGAGACCTGCCTGGGCAACTTGGTAAGACCTCATCTCTACAATAAATCCAAATGAGCCGGGCGTGGTAGCATGCGCCTGTAGTTCCAGCTACTTGGAAGGCTGAGGTGGAAGGATCGCCGGAGCCCAGCAGGTCGAGGCTGTGGTGGCCGGGAGCAGCCACTGCACTCCAGCCTGGGTGACAAAGTGAGACTCCGACTCAAAAACTAATAATAACAATTAAACAGCAGGGCATAGTAGCTCAGCCTGTAATCCTGGCACTTTGGGAGGCCAAGGTGAGTTATTGTCTGAGTCCATGGGTTTGAGACCGGCCTGTGCAACTTCGCGAGACCTCGTCTCTACAACAAATCAAAAAATTAGCCAAGTGTGGTAGCGCGCCTGTGGTTCTGCCTATTTGGAAGGCTGAGGCGGAAGGACTGCAGGACCCCAGCAGGTCGAGGCTGCAGTAACCGTTAGCATGCCACTGCACTCCAGCCTGGGTGAAGGAATGAGACTCCAACTCAAAGAAAAAAATAGTAATAATGACAATAGTAATAACTACAAAGAAAAAAAAGCAGCCCCAGAAAAATGACATGTTCCTTCCAGGGAAGCAAGGTTTCGGTGACCACAGACTTGTCCTCAAAAACAATGGAAGCCAGAGACAGTAGGACAACATCCTCCAAACAGTAAAAGGGAAGAATCAGAATCGTCACCAAACATACATGCAGAGAAAACACCCCTCAGAAGTGTGAGCAGAATAACAGGCCAATGCCATCAGCCACTGTACAAGAAAACAATGACAGCGAGAACAAAGGAAACCTACGAGGACGTGGTCACTGGACTGAAAGCAGCAAGCAGGCACCAGTTCCCACAGGCAGCAGCGGACACGAGAATTAAAAACATTAACAGTCCTCGGAAGAAACTCCACACTCATGTGGAAGTGTGACTGCACACAGGGCTGCAGTGAGAAATTAGAAAGAGGTGACGGCACAAGCTCTCATTTCCACACAGCACTGCAAACAGAAAAGCAGAATACTCATTTCCCTTCTTACAAGAAAAAGATCAACTGGTCAGGATGGAGACATAATCCGACCCAGAAAACTCCATTATAAACATACGTTCAAACTATTTTAGGCTGGGCGTGGTGGCTCATGCCCATAATTCTAGCATTTTGGGAGCCCCAGGGATTCGAGACCAGCCTGGGCAACTTGGCGAGAATTCATCTCTACAACAAATTAAAAAATTACCCAGGTGTGATGGCTACTTGGAAGGCTGAGGCAGAAGGATCACCTGAGCCCAGCAAGTCAAGGCTGCGGTGGCCATGAGCGTGCCACTGCACTCCAGCCTGGGCAACAGAGTGAGACTACAACTCAAACAAAAAACAAAAAACAAAAAAACTATTTTAGCCGGGTGTGGTGGTTCACGTCTGTAATCCCAGCACTTTGGGAAGCAGAGGCAAGAGGATTGATTGCCTGAGCCCAGTGGCTTGAGACCAACCTGGGAAACAAAGCGAGACCTCATCTCTATAATAAATCAAAAAATTAGCAGGTCATGGTGGTCCGTGCCTGTGGTTCCAGCTACTTGGAAGGATGAGGCAGAAGTATCGCCTGAGCCCAGCAGGTCGAGGCTGTGGAGGTCATGACTGTGCCACTGCCTTCCAGCCTGGGTGACAGTGAGACTCTCATTCAAAAAAAAAAAAAAAAGAGCTGGGTGGCTCAGCCTGTAATCCCGTGCCTTTGGGAGGCTGAGGTGAGTGGATTGCCTGAGCCCGCGGGTTCGAGACCCGCCTGGGGCAACTTGGCGCGACCTCATCTCTACATAAATC